AAATACATACACATTTTAATTTAATTTGTTAGTTGAAAAGTTAAAAATTTGGTTTGATTTATAATAATCTCGATTGTTTTGATTTATCTATTAATTTATTCTTATATTTTAATTTATATGTGAATAGCTCATATAACTCACTAAATCAATGAATTTCATATTCTTATATTCAGATATATAAATTCAACTCATATAACAAATTAGTCCGGATTAAACTCCCATTAAATCTTTTGATTTGGGTCGGACTACCCATTTTGATATTCCTACCTAAACTTCTAATTCAAAATGTTAAGTTTATATTAATATTCCAATACAATATAAAAACCAAATTTAGTTTACGAATGTTCTCGCACATAGTGCAGGTGAGAATCAAGTACGATTGTTAATATAGACTGCGTAATCACTGTAAATAAACAAAAGTTAGAATTTTCAAAAAGTTAGAATCTTCAGAATCTGCATCAATAACCAACGCAATCTGCACTAATAAACTTTTGCCAGTAATCGAAAGAGATTTGTATACAACTTAGACAAAAGTGTGAACGTACCAAACTGTGCCATTTAGATAGATAAGCGCTACATAAAAACTGAAATGTGCAACTCTTTCACACAAAGTTAATAAAGAAAAACATAAACATAAACAAAAGAACATTAAAAAATACAGTTTACTAATTTCACTTCGACCAATTTCCACCCTGCATCCCCGTCCAAATACAATGATCAGTGACAGCATTGACAAGCTCCGGCTTGGTTAAGCGCATTTTAGAAAGTAGGACATTAAACTTTCTCTTCTTTAATGAACTCAAAGAAAGAGCAAAGTCAACATCAGAAGAAATGAGTAGTATATTTGTGGGTCCATGATCATAAGCTCCAATCAGTAAATCATGAACAATCAAGAAGTCTCCTAAATCGGTTTTGGCTTTTCTACCTGAATTGGGTAGTGCGTTTTGGGTTCTGCTGTTTTGGGCCATGCTGATTTGGGCCGTACTGTATTGGGCTGGGTTATAGACCTGTTGGGCCAGACGCATGGCCCGAGGAATATAGGCGGAGCCTGAGCGTTAAGGGCAGGTTGGTTGGGGCGCAGTCCGGGTAGAGGCTGAGGGTTTGGGGCTGGTTGGACGGGGGCTGGTAACATGCATGAAAAATAAGTAAAGTAAGATTAGTTGTATTTTAATGGGCCGGTTGATAATTAAAAAATTATGACTTTCAAAAAACTTACCTTGAATGCCCAAAGCCGTAAAGTATTGGGCCAAAAACTGTTTGGCCAGGGCTAATTGGGTTTTATCTGTTCGAAACATTACAAAAATATTACAAAATAAATTAAATATTATCAAAAATACTAATTGCCCATACTCAGTTATAAAATAACTAAAAATAAAAAAGAATGCTAACCTTGCTCGAAAAGGTCTGGTGAAGAAGAAGGGCCGCCC